TGTTATTACTTTAATATTAGTCTATTATTAAAAAGTTTTATTATGTCAATAATATATTATATTATATGATAATAATATAATATCATTAAATATATTAAATTATATCATATCACATTATTTATAATTATTGTATTATATACTATATTTTATATTATATTAATAATTACGTAGCATGCAGAATATAAATGATAGTGGCAATAATGGGTGTTTCTATTTATTTATTTTTTTTCTATTTATTTATTTATTTTCTATTACTTCTTTTACAAATTGATATTTGTTCTATTATTGGTGTATATATGTAGGGATAAATTAATTTATTTTTTTAAATTTTCATACCATATAAATAATTACAATCAAACTATATAGTTCTATAAACCTTTGAAAAAAAAAAAAAAAGAAAAAAAAGAAAGAAAACTATAAATAACTTACCTTTTAATATTTAGTGAGATAAATTGAAAATATTAAAAGGAATAAAAAATTATTATTATTATTAATTATTATAATATATATAATATTTGCTGTTGGAAACAATTAATTTATATAAAAAAAATTTTAAAAAAAATTTAAAAAAAATTTTAAAAAAAAATTAATTATTTTTTTTTTTTTTATAAAAAAGATATTATTTTTTTTACACTCCAAATTAATAGTTTTTTTGTGCTAAAAAGTCAACACAAAGAATGATAGTTTGAATGAAAATAATATATCTCTTATAGAATTTTTTGAACATTTTTTATTATTTTATTATTTTTATTTTTAAAAAAATTTTAAATAAAAATTATTTTATAATAATAAAGTTTTTATTTGTATGAAGACTTTCTTGATTCAATTAACAATTTTAGCTAACCGAAAATGGTAATAAGGAATTAATAATAAAATAAAATAAAATAAAATAAAATAAAATAAAATAAAATAAAATAAAATAAAATAAAATAAAAAGGGGATTTATTTACAAATTAGATTTATTTAATGTTTGATTTATTTTACAAAAAAAAAAAAAAAAAAAAAAGGAAAAAAAAAAAAAGAAAAAAAAAAGTATTTAAACTATAAATAGTTAAAAATCATAGTCATTTGTACCATAATAATCATTATCCATTGAATAAGGGTCATATGCATGGGTTTGTTGTTGTTGTTGTTGTTGTTCGTACTGTTGGGTATCCATAACGACTTCCTCCTGGTAACGACCAATGCTCGATTTTGATTTTCCTGAACCTAATGTACCTGAACCATAGCTACCACTCGCTCTTCTAAGATCGGGGTCTAAATCATTTTCGTTATCTGATGCATCAGGATCGGCATTCTCAGATGCTAATTTCATTAGATCATTCTTTAAGTTCATTTTTTCTTCTCTTTCTTTCTTTTGTTTACTAACTTCCTCCCTTTGTTTTCTATAGTCATCCATATCATAATTGATTTTTCCTTTAATAATATCATCTAGGATATTTGGATTTTCATTTTGTTCTCTTTTAAATTTTGCTTTTAATTGTCTTCTATCTCTATGCGGAAAAACATTCTCTAAAACTGAAAAATCTGTACCATATTTTTTTAATGCCTAAAATAATAGGTAGTAAATAGATTTATATTAATATATGAAAGGTATGATGTTAACAATAAAATAATTACAATTATAAACTCTCTTGTTTCAGCTTCGCTCCATCTTCTAGATGGTGTTCTTTTTGAAAACGAAAAGTTGGTAATATGGTCAGTGCTTTCATAAAGGACAGGTGCATCTTCAATGGTTGGATCAAGCTCGGTTGATTGTGATTTAACAGTAAGTACACCATTTACAAATTCTACTGCAGCAGAGTTATCATTTTCCATCATAGGTTGTGGTATTTGGTTTTGTTGTTGGCTACGTTGATGTCTTAAAAGTGAATTTTGATTTTGTTTTAAAGCTTTTTCTCTTTCCAAAGTTGATTTCATAGTATCACCAATAATTCTAGTTTTAATTAAATCACATAATGTATAGTTTGCAGCTTCGCTAGGTTCAATTTCTTTGAATGAGTCTTCAATTGATTTCCTTGGTTTTCTAACTTTAGGTTTGATTGATTTTCTAACTTTTTTTGGTTTTTTTTCATTATCTTTGGTACTGTCAGTATTTTGTTCATCCTTATCTTTAGGTTCAAGTTCTTCGATTTCTCTATCGAACTCTTTAATGTCTTTTTCTTCTTTTTTTACATTTTCTTCATTTTCTTCATTTTCTTTATTTTCTTCTTTATTTATATTTTCATTTTCTTCATTTTCTTCATTTTCTTCTTTATCTATATTTTTATTTTCTTCATTTTCTTCATTTTGTTCTTCTTTATCTTTGATACTTTCCTTTTCTATTGCTTTTGTTTTTTTACCTCTTGGCATTATATAAAAGTATAAAAAATAATAAATAATAAATAAAGATATGTATTTGAAAAAAAATTTGGAGTATTATAAAATAATTCCGTTTAAAAATTTTTTAAAAAAATAATTAAAAAATAATTAAAAAAAAAAAAAAAAAAAAAAAATTAAATTATTATTATAATTAATTTATTTATTTTAATTTTTTTAATTTTTATTTTTATGGTATATTAATTATTATTATTAGTAATATATAAAAATGGATTGAAAGAAGATTTCCACTTTAGTGCAATCGGTCCTTTACCAACATTATTGCCGGAATCTAATTGTGGTGGCAATGAAAATTGAACAGTTTTAATCGAGGTCATTTCCTGTAAACTTGTTAATGATGCTCTAGTAATACTACAAACTGATATACATCTAGATAGCAAGGCTGTGTTGGTTACGTTCAAATCGAGTTCAGAGTCAGTTAAACATATTGGTATGGTAATATTACCAATACCATATTTCGAAGCAGTCAATAATATGTTTCTTAAACCTTTGGCAATATCAGATGTTGTTGGTAATGCATTTTCCCCCAACGGTGTTCTATCTAAATAATAAAATTATAAAAGGTAAAACAAAATTATTAGAAATCAAGATTGTTTTTATTTTTTTTATTTTTTTATTTTTTGAATATAATACTTACTTTTACTATCAACTACTAAATGGAATACAACTTGAACATCTGAAAGATTTGAATGTTTTGTTATAAAGAAATCACCATTATTTAAAAGTGTATTTTCGCCAATTGAATGTCTAAAATCATAAATTTGTTTATCTATTGAATCGAAATGAAGTTCTGTTGACATATTGCAATATTTAATAAATTTTCTTTCATTTTCAGAGTTGAACGATAGGGAGGGATCCACAAGTAAAATAACAGCTGATAGTGAGTCTGAATATAATGTTTTAATATAATCTACTCTTTTTATTTTTCTATATTCCCCAGGTATTGATGTAATTGGTTTGCATAGTTGTAAGGGTGATTCTTCGATTAGTTTTATTTTAAATAGTTTTTTCTTTTGAACACCAACTGCAATTGTATATTCTTCAAAAAATTTACCTGTATTTATAACCAATTCTGTATTTTCATTATTATTTTTATTTTGTAAATTTGGTATTGATGCACTACCACTACTTTGTTTTCTAAGTACTGGTAAGGTATTGTTATTATTATTATTAGTATTGGCATTTGATGAGTTTGATGTATTGCTAGTTGTTGAACCTGTACTTTGCTTTCTTGGTTGTAAAAATTCACTATTATTATTTACAGAGGGTGAAGGTGTTGATTGTTGGTGTGGTGATGTTGAAACTAATTTATTGGGTGATGATGAAGATGGTGTTGATGAATCTATTTTATTATTGCTTGTAGTATTATTAATTTTGATTGGCTTTGTAGTGTCGTTTTGTTGTTGCTCGGAATTTAGTGGTGGTGAGTTTACGGGTGGTGAAGTTACAGATTGATTCTTTTTAAACCCAAAAGAGAAGAATGAGGATGCTCTTCCAAAACCTTTATCTAAATTTTGACCAATTGAATCAAGAATGCTGCCCTTTTCTTGTATTTGCTGGTTTTGTTGTGACTGTTGTTGTTGTTGTGATTGTTGTTGTGACTGTTGTGGTGGTAGTTGTTGTGATTGTTGTTGACTATTATTTTGCTGTTGATTAAAATCTTCAATTTCATCTAAATCATCTTTTGTTTTTTCTAACCAATATAAATTTGTTAAAAAATTTGAAAATTCAGATTTTTGCTTTTGTTTTAATTGGGTTATTTCATAATTATAAAACTGTTCTAAATCATCCACTTGCTTCATATTACTAGCTACAATAAGTTCGACTTGATCAGGTGGTAATGAATTTCTAAAGGCATCTTCCATTTCTTGTGAATGTCGTTCATTAATTGTTTTAAGATCATCTTGTTTCTTTACTAACTGAATAGACATTTCTGTAGCGAACAGTTCCTCTTGGCTGATAATACGCTCTCTTGTATCATGGTTTTTATTCACCAAATATAAAAATGTTGAAATTCTCTCTTCTTTTATTTGTTGATCTACAGTCTCCTGATTATTAATTAACTTGTTCCAATATGACACCTTTTCGCTATATTGACTTGATAGTGAGTTTATGATTTTTTGATTTATAATTCTATTGCTGGTGGTGCCATCTTCTTTTTTTTGGTCCTCTTCTTGATATTTTACAAAGTTACTTGTTTTAATATACTCCAGATCGCTGTGGTCTTTGGTGAAAATTTTATCTTGTTTTATCAAATTTTCAATTGTATTTAATAAACTTATTCTATAGTATATTGGTATATCGAATTCGTTCATAAACTGATCTACTGCACTTGATACCTCCTCACCCGATTTCAAATGAAATTGACCCATTACAAATTTTTTACCTACTGGGAATGACAAATTAAACGATGTGTCATATTTTACTAACATTTTATAATAATATTTAAAAAAATATATTAAAACTATAAAATATAAAATTATAAAAAAAAATTAAAAAATAAAAAAAATTAAAAATTAAAAATTTATGAAAAAAAAAAAAATAAAAAAAAAAGAAAATAAATTAATTAATTGAAATTTGATAATGTTTATTTATTTGGTTGGTTTAGAAATTTTTTTTAGATTCTTCATAAAAATCAGTTTGATATTTAACTAGTTTTCTAAATTTAGAATCTTCATTTTTGATCAAGTTTGTGGGAGTGTCAAATTCTACTAATTCACCTTTATCAACGATTGCTATTTTGGAAGAGTCGATAATCTATTCCAATAAACAAAGATTAGTATAAAATAATTAATAGTTTTAATGGTAATTTAATAAATAAAAATACTTACAGTATCAAGACGATGGGCAATCGTTAGCATACTAGAGTTAATAAAGTTTTCATCTTCTGAAAGAACAGTTTTGATTAAAGCTGCGGTTTGATAGTCGATGGCACTGGTTGCTTCGTCCATTAGAATTACTTTGGAGCCTTTTAATATTGTACGTGTTAATGATAGTAGTTGCTTTTGACCAAATGACAAACCTTCACCATTTTCAGCGATTTTGGTATTAAGTTTCTTTGGCATCTCACTGATTGCTTTGCTTAATTTAACTTTTTCTAAAGCACCCCAAATTTCTTCATCTGAATACTGATTAAATGGATCGATATTGGATCTGATGCTTCCAGTAAATACCCATGGGTCTTGTGGTACTACACCCAATGAGCTTCTGAGTTTATGTAATCCTACTTTGGATATATCAACACCATCAATTGTAATTGAACCTTTATGACACTCTACCATACGAAATAAACTTACACCAATTGTTGATTTACCTAATAAAATAAAATGTTAGTTTTATTTAACATTATGTATTCAAAAACACATGTTAATTATTATTATAATATTTACCTGCACCAGTACGACCAACAATACCAATTTTTTCAAAAGAGTTGACATTAAATGAAATGTTTTTTAAACTTGGTTCTGAATTTGGACGATATCTAATTTCAATATTGTTGAATTGAATTTCGCCTTTAGATGGCCAATTTGTTAAATTTGAATCAGTTTCTAAATATTTTTTACCTTCGGGTGGTGTTTGAATATAACTATGAATACGTTGGAATGAATTCATTTTAACCTCCAATTCCACTGATTGTTTAATTGCCCAATTTAAATAACCTGTCATACTCATAGCGGTAGATACAGCCAATACTGCAAAGCCATCGGTATTATTACTAAACAAAGAAAAAAGCGATGCAAAGAAAACGAGGGTACTGGCAAGAAATTCCAATCTAATTGAAACCCACATATTTATGGCAAAGGCAGCAAACATACATCGATTGTGAATATCAATATTATGATACATTAAATCTATGAATCTTGATTGTTGTTTAAATGATCTAATTGTTACCAAACCATTATAACATTCTTGCAATAATGAATAAATTGGGCTGAGAGTAATTGATTCCATACGACTCATTTCTCTGGCTGATGGACGGTAGAATACTTGAACAAAATAGTAAAGAACCATTAACATAAAAAATGGTATGACCATAATCGGGTTAATGTAAATAATTGATACAATACCAACTATAAATGCAGAGTAACAAAGTAATACATCTGAAAGCTTATCTAGCATTGGAACATCGATGTCACTAATATCTTTACTGAATCTATTTAATATACGGCCAGATGGGTTTTGGTCGAAAAATAAACATGATGCTGAAGAGATCGAGTCTAATAATTTATGGTGTAGATTCTTTGCACATGAAAATGTAATTGTTGCCAGCATAAAGTAACGGATTAAAACAAACAGTACAAACGCCAATATAATTATACAGTAGTATGTAATGTAAAAACCTTGACCTTTACCATTGATTGATTGCTCTGTCCATAATGTTAACCAAAAGTCCGATAGTTGTGATATAACTTGACTGGTTAAAAACAAAATAAAAGTAAAAATTATAAATGGATTTGATGCGCCATATCTAAAGTATGCTTTATAGGCATCAAACGATACGTGACCTTTGTTTCTATCTTCCTCAACTAAAAGTTTGGCTCTTTCTATTAAATCCGGGTCATGTTTATCATTTATAACTTGATTAATTAAATCTCCAGTTGATTCGCCATTGCTATGTTCATTTTCTTTTTTACCCAATTCATCAATACCTTCGGTTTCTAATTTTTTGGTTTTCATAATAGACTCGAAATCAATACCCTTTGCCTTTAATTCTTTGTATGTGCCTTGAACCAATGTTCCATTTTCAATTAAAATAATGTGGTCAGCATTTGGTATAAATTGAATTTGATGGGTAACTAATATACGAGTTTTATTTGCCATCATACCTTGAATACAATTATTGAACAGATAAGAACCTACTTCTGGATCAACAGCAGATAATGGTTCGTCCATAATAAAGCAGTCGCTATTTGAGTATAATGCACGAGCTAAAGATATACGTTGTTTTTGACCACCGCTTAAATTAATACCACGTTCACCAATTTCTGTTAAATCTAATGCAGCCATTTGTAATAAATCTTTTGTTAAGCAACAAGCCTCGATAACTTTTTTGTAATAATCCATGTCCATTGCTTTACCAAACAATATATTTTCACGCAGAGATGCACTTAATAAAAATGGAACTTGACCAGTATACGATACATTATCAGGTGCATTTACTTGACCCTCGACCTTATTAATTTCACCAAGAAGAGCATTTATAAAACTTGTTTTACCAGTACCAACAGGTGAGCAAATAATGGTTAGTTTACCTCGTGGGGCACTAAAACTAATGTTATTTAAAACATATTTGGATTCATCAGTATTTTCCTTGCCTTCAATTATAATATCAATTGGTGTTTCTTTTTTGGGTATTAGTTTGCTTGAGTCATCTTCACCATTAGTATTTGAATCATCTTCGATATCATCTTCATCCTCTTCATCATCTTGATCTATATTATCTTCGCCCCATTGAAATGTTGAGTTTTTAATACTAATATCTGTATCAGAAATAATATAGTTTGAAATTTCTGAGCATTTTAGGAATCTTTGAATTCTTCTACATGATGGCAATAATGATAATATCACATAAATATCATATGGAAACATAATTAATGGAGTTCTAAGGTTTACAAAAATGTTCATTGATGTAAAAGCAGTTTCTACTGTAATTTTATGACCCAAAAGTGAATATGTTGCAAATGTTGAAACCAATACTAAAGCAGAGGTTGTTTGAATCATAATATTATCACCGATCCAGAATAAAATTCTTTTGAACATTAACTTTAATTCTTCTTCCCTATGGCTTTCAATCTTTTTGGTAAAGTATTTTTCCCATGCATACATCTTGATAAATCTTATTCCATTGATTAGTTCGTTCGTTAAATTTGACCTTTTATCAGTATATTTTAGAGATTTATCCAAGTAGCCACTACTTTTATTACAAAAGTAAGAGTTAACAGGCATTGCTAGTAACATTATTATAAAACCGACCAAGCCACTCCACCCAACAACCAAGCATAGAAATATCAATAAAACTATAATTTGAATGGGATGTGAAAACAATTCAATACAATGGGTCCAGAAAAAGGTTTTGAATACTTCGACATCAACAGACATAAGATTTGTAATGGCACCGCTATTAAATTTTTTTTTTGAAGAGTTTGAAAGCTTTAAAGCTTTTTTGAATACTGCTGATGTTAAAGAGCCATGTACCTCTAAACTACATTTCATACCATACCAATAAAAGATCTCTTGGGTAACACCAAATGAAAAAGAGCTTAAAAATAGTAAGCAACAATATATGATTCCTATAATAATTGATTTATCTTGGCTAGTACTTGTTATATGCGATATAAAACTAAAATTTTGTTTTAAAAAATTAGTATTTATATATAATATAATTATTTTCGAGTGTAGTTACAGTTTTAAACATAATGGTGATAGAATTGATAAAAAAGTTAAAAAGATTTGAAGGAAAATTAAAATTTTGTTTTTCCCAACTATATATTCCTTATAAATATATTTAATTAAAGGATATTTTGAAAAACCCTTACTTGAGCTATTTAAACTGTTTAAATTTAAATTATTTAAATATTTTGAGGTATAGTTTGATTTTAAATAATTTGGTATATCAAAAATATCAGTCATTTCTAATGGTTCTTTAAAATATCCTCTGATTAGTAATTTAGTTACCCATCCAAAGGTAAATTTGGTTAATGGATTTGAGTTTACATATGGACATGGCTTATTATATTCTGGTTCTTCATCCTCATCCAACAGAGCATAAGACAATTTGTTTCTTATTTTATTTTTTAATTTGTTTAACATGATTCTATAATTTTATTAAACATGATTTTATTTAGATTGCAATGTACGAAATTTTGTTTATTAAATAAACAACATAAACAAAAGAATTAAACCAAAAAACACATTTTGAGAAAATTAGCAGTGTGTAATGATGCAACAATTGTGTATTTTAAAAAAAACGAATTTTTTACTTTTTTTTTTTTTAAATTATTTTGTATTTATTTTGAATTTTATTTTTAAAAATTATTATTTTTTTGATTAATCAAAAGACCAAATATAACCCATGGGGATATCATACTATTTTTGGATAAAGTAAAAATGAAAAAAAAAAACAAAAAAATTAAAATTAATATGTATGTATATTTTTTTTTTTCTGTTAAAATTATAAAAATTTTTACGTACTATTATTTTTTTTTTTATAGTTTTTTAAAGATTGTTTAATTGATTTATTTGATGGGTCAAGTTCAAGGGCTCTTTCTAAATCCAAAATTGATTCGTCAATATCATCCAAGTGTTTATTTGCAGTGGCTCTTTGTTGAAGTGCTTTGATATTCTTTGTGTCTATATCTAGGATATTGGTACAGTAGTCACGTGCATCTTTCCATTCACTAGCCATGAGAGAACATTGGACCAAATGATGAAATACATCTAATACATCTTGTTTATATTGCTCTTTTACACTTGAATAGTTCTTGGAACCAACCATTAAAAATTGTAATGCTAGCTTGAATTGATTTTTTGCAGCTTCAAAATTCTTTTCTTTAAAAAGCATTAATGCTTGGTTTTTAACTTCTAGTCCATTATGATTATCCTCTTTTTCAATGATTTTATCTCTATTATTATTTATTTGTTGTTTACTATTAACATTTTTATTTTTTATATGTCTAATGAACAAATTATCTAATGGTTGTTTTTCTGAAATTGTCATTTTTAATTGAGAGTGATATTATAACTACAATATTATATTATTATTATTATTATTATTATTATTATTATTATAATTTTATTTTAAATAATTCTATAATTTCTTCTTTTTTTTTTTTATTTATATTTTTTTTTTTAAAAAAATAAAAAATAAAAATAAATTAAATTATTTTTTTCAATGAACCCACACACAGATATGGTAATTTATTTTAGTTTTTAATATAATTATTAATTTAATTTCTTTAATAATCCATTTTATAATAATAATTGATATTAAAAAGTTTTTATAATTTCTTTTTTAATATAATTAAATGTTATTATATATAATTTTAATTATTTATTCCTAATAAAAATGTTTTCAATTTATTAAGTGAAAAAAAAAAATTAAATTAAAAAAAAATTAAAAAAAAAAAAAAAAAAAAGGGGGGAGATGGGTAAAAAAAAAAGGGGTAATGAAAAAAATAATAATAATTATATTTGTTTTATTAAGTTATTTGTCTTTTTTTATTTTTTTTTTCCTTTCTTTTTTTAATTTTTTTTTTTTTCCTTCAGACAAAAATTTATAAAATGTTTTTTAATAAAATATTGTTAATTTTATTTTTTATATTATCTTTAAATGAAAAATGTAACTATAATTATAAAATCAAATCTATAATCATTGGGGCAATACTAATTATATTTTAAATATTATATAGGCTTTTCAAAAGACCCCGTAACTATTTACAATGATCAAGTTGTTAATATTTATGGAAACTTTGGTGACTATTTGAAGATTACACCAACAATAACTATTCAAGAGAAACCATGCGAGCTTTTCGAATATGATGCTAGCCATATATCCTGTTATTTTAAAAGACTTGATGAATGTACAACCGATTTGCAAATTAATTTCTCCAATAGTAGTACTCGTGAATCTATAGTCTATTCAAATCTAGTATGCCCACCAAAACCAATTGTAGAAAAATTTATAATCAACTATGATGAAAAAAAGGAAAAGGTAACCCTAACTATTGCTGGCAATTATTTCCCAACAAAGAATCCAAATTTTTTTATTTCACTAAATAATAATAATAAGAAATATAAACAAGAAAGTGATATCTATCAAGGAGTTGATGGATCAAAAGTAGTTAAATGCAAAGGCAATTTAGAACTAAATGAAAACTATATCATTTGCAATTCAATTTCAAAAGATATATATGAAAGCCTTAAAGAAAAGAAACCAAAGGACAGTTATATGATCTTGGCACCAGACGCATCAAATATTATTGCAAATAATGATGTAAAAGACTATTTATTAAATAATACAATTTTAATAAAGAAAATATCATCAAAAGACATCCATGTTTCCAATAAAAGTTTCAAATTAATTGCCTATGTAGCTATCCCATCGTTTGTATTTTTGGTTCTTATTGTAAGTGTCTCGGTATTCATCCACAAAATTAGAAGAAATAAAAAGAAATAAATAAAAATAAATAAATTTTTTCCCTAAAAAAAATAATAAACTATAATTTTTTTACCTTTAATTTTTTTTATTTTTTTTTTTTAAACAAAGAACTTTATTTACAGGATTTTTAATGATTTATTTATAATGCTTTTATTTAATAGTTATTATTATTTACTGCCACCAATACCATTATTTCTTTTTTTATTCACCTCTAGTAATTTTATTATATAATAATATTACTATTAATATAATAAAAACCATAAAAAGGAAACCTGGTATAGCAACTAAGCCGATTAATCTTGAATCAGTGTTATTTACAACAACATCAGACCATTTTATTTCTACCAATTCTCTTTTGGTAATATTTTTACTGTGCTCTGTTTGCCCATATAGCTGCTCTAGTACCAAATAGTTGTAGAAATTCTCTCCACTAAAATCATTCAATTCTAAAACATCGGAAACATCGTCAGGAAAATTATAAATTAAAATATGGTCACTTATTTTTGATGACTCTGATAGGAATAAACTGCCATAGTTGTGTAAATCGGGTACCGAAAGGTCTGTTCTATCATAGATATCGATAGGCTTTTCACACTCTAGTCTAAGATATGCATTTACACCACCTTCAAAATTTTTACCAATAATTGTTAATTTGAATGATCTTGAAACGGCATCTTGTTGGATGAACAACTTTTTGACTAAAGGCTTTTCTGAACAAACATCATCTTTTAAAGCGGTATACTGTTGGGAAAATCCTTCTACATTCTTCATCTTGATTCTTTCTATACAGCCACTAAAAAAGGATTTATCCAAAATACATCTAATGGAGGAATTTGATGCTACCATAGGTATACATCTGTGGTATAGTTGATCTTTTCTTACTGCCTCGATATTAATTACAGGTAGTTGACTATTGGAATAAAAAAATACACCATTCAATTCTAAAATTCTTTCTTTGATTGTACTATTGCATATGGTGGACTTTAGCTCTAATAATTTAATTTGGGAATCTTCCAAACTATTTGATCTATTTTGATATTGTACCGAGACATTTGAAACTTGTGTTATATTTACTGGTTCAATATATAATATTTTTAAAAACTCTTGCTCAGTAGTTGAATCAAGATACTTGCTTACGTCACCACCCATTTCTTTTTTGACTTTTTCTCTATTTAGGTAAGCAACTCTATCATTTTTAAAAACTTGACCATTATAATTTACTTGGATTGCATCATTACCATAAATCTTTGAAAAAACATAGATTTTTAATTCACAGTTTTTAAAACTATAAGAGACCAAATCAATTTTTAATTGTTTATCTGTTAAAAAAAAAAAATTAGTTTTTTTAAATAATTTTTGATTAAAAAAAATATTTAATTTAAACTTACCTGGAACATTTGTTGGAGTTTGACTGGGTTCTTCTGAACCTAAAATATTACAATTAATTTTACTTAATATTAAAAATAATATTAGAAATACTAATTTATTTATACTATAAAACATTCTATAAAAAAATAGGAGCAATAATTTTAAAAAACAAAAAAAAAAAATAATAACCCAATGAGGTAAATTTTTTTTTTTTAAATTTTAAGTGGGTGATTAAATAAATACAAAAATAAATTAAAAAAAATATTATTATTATTATTTCTTTTATTAATATATTATTTTTTTTATTTATTTTAAGTATATATAAAAATTATAACACCCAAAAAAAAAAAAAAAAAATTAAAATTAAAATTAAAATTAAAATTAAAATTAAAATTAAAATTAAAATTAAAGCTATACAAACTATTTTTTTCTTTCATACATTTATACTTAATTTATATGAGGGTTTGATTTAATGAAAACTATTTTTATTTTTATTATTTACACTCAAAAAAAAAAAAAAAAAATTGATTATTTGTGTTTAACCAAAACTAATTTATAATAAATTGATAATATCTTTTAAAGTACAATTTGGCTTTGCTGAAGACCAAGCTGCTGTTATATAAAGTAAACTTGCAAAAATATTGAAATAATTTGTCCATGGTAGATATTGAGGGAAAAAGGCTAAATATAATGAGTATATGGTACAAAGTGATAATCCGGTCTAAAATAAAAAATTAATATTTAATTTTTTTGGTTTTTTTGATTTTTTGATTTGCTTACCTGTCTTTTCCATGAAGTGTTTCTAGTCAATAAAAATGAAGAAATAAAAAATATCCAAGATTTTCTTGCTGCATTTGATATAGCTTCTAATAATAATAAAGATATATGGTTTCTGGTCTCTTGTTGGCCTAACGATGGTACAACAACATGAAGTAGTCTAGATTTTTTCTGCTTTCCAATATACATTAAAATTCTGCTTATACTAACCCAAATACCTAATAAAAAATTTGATGTAATTAAAACTCTACGAGCATATTTTAATCCCCATGCATTTCTACCTTGTTCATCTTCCATATCTCTTACTTTTTTCTTTAAAACTTCTATTTCATTTAATATAAAATTAATTTGACTTATAAAATCTTCTTTTTGTTGTTGTGAAATTATTAAATTTTGACTACCACTGGTATTATTGGTATTTGAACCATTTGAACCATTTGAACCATTTGTACTATTTGTGCCATTTGTACCATTTGTACCATTCGTATTGCCATTATTATTGATATTACTATTGTTATTACCATTTTGGCTACTATATAAGCTATATTGAGATAAGAATGGTGGGGTTTGGGATGATTGATTTGGTGATGATGATAGCTGTTGTTGTTGTTGGAGATAATATTGGAAAACTCTATTTGGGATTCTATTATTATTACAATTATTTACACTTTGAGAACTACTATTCACATTACCATTATTATATGGTAATGTTGTGGTGACTGATGATGAGTTCATTAAATTTAGAAATGGTGTACTTTTACTTCTTTTTATTGAGGAATCTATGCTATTAGTATTATTATTATTATTATTATTATTATTATTATTATTATTATTATTATTATTATTATTATTATTATTATTATTATTATTATTAAAACTGAAAAATGAATTTAATGATTCATCTTTTTTTTTTAAATTATTACTGGTAGAATCAAAATTATATGGCATTTGGGATCCACTATATGGTGAAAAATTACCATTAGTTGTAGGGGGAGGTGAAGATGAATAACTGTCATATGAAGATTCCATTATAGGTGGTAAGAGCTCATTAATATTACCATTATTATTATTTAAACTACCCCCATTACCATTATTACTATTATTATTGTTATTATTATTGTTATTATTATTATTATTATTATTTTCAAATAACATTTGTATTGTATAATTTTTTATTGAGTGGATTTATTTGTATTTTAAGTGAGATTGATGTGGTTATTTTTATCTCTTGTCTCTTTTGCCTAATGAAGATTTTTTTTTTTGATAACAATTAAAAAATTAAAAAAAAAAAAAAAAAAAAAAAAAAAAAAATTAAAAAAATAAAAATTTAAAAAAAAAAAAAAAAATTATAATTTTAATAAATAAAAATAAATATATTAATAAAAAAGAGTACCCAATTGGTTATTTTTAGAAAAACATATTGATTTTATTGTTTTTATTAAATAAGGAAAATAATTTTTTTTTTTTCACAACCTTCTATTTTTTAAAAATTTACACACAATTAAAATTTAAAATAAAACCATATTTATAAAAATAATTATGTTATGTTAAAATAAATAAATAGATTTTTATTTTACCCATTTATATCAAATAATCACCAAAACCCAAATTGAAATTTTTTTTTTTTTAAAATGTCCCATAAATTTGTGTTTTGTGAATTTGGGGCAGTTAAAAAATTGATTTCAATTTTTGGAAGTGCGTCACTGAACGTCATCTGGGGATGCGTGCGGACTTCAAATCCGTAGCCCAAGAAATTGGGAGTTGTTCGATTCAACCTGAGGCGTGTTTTTTTTTTTTTTTTTTGATAATTTTTATAAGATGGAGAATACAAAAAAAAAAACAACCACAAACAATTAGCAACATCAACGAAGAATATAGAAAATTCAAAAGAAGAATAGCAAGAGCATACTTCATCAGCATCAAATCATTACCAAATATCAACAGTTTAGAATATTTTCTTTAAATACTTTATAAAAAACATTAAATAAAATTTTACTTAAGATTTTTTAAAAAAAAAAAAAAAAAAAAAAAAAAAAATTTTACTGATTAATTTAAAACATTTGCTTTTAATTATCTTCGCTTTTAAAAAAAAAAAAAAAAAAAAAAATTAATTTTTATGAATAAAAAAATAAATAAAAAAAAATTTATAAACCTAAAAAAGATATTTTTAAATAAACCTAAAAAAGATTATATAAATAAAAAAAGATATTATATAAAATATTCCAACCTGCACTAACCAAAGAAAAAATGTAATGTGTGATTATTTGTATAGAATTTAAATAAATCTTTATTTAAAATTAAATATTTATGAATATAGTTCTATAAGATTGAATATTTGCATAGAAACTATTCAAAATTTTTTTATTTATTATTAAAATAAGTGTTGCTAAACCAGTCAAGACCTAATTATTTAGAGAAAAAAAATTTGGTTAATCAAAATGATTTAAATTTATAATTTTAAATATATATTATTAATAATTACCCTGATAAAGACCGTCACCTGAGGTTGCTCTAGTTTCTTGGATATACCATTTTCTTTGACGGAGGGAGTGGAGATTTAGTTTATCAGTTATCTCAGGAGCCAACATTGCATTTGGAAGATCCTGTTTGTTACAGAAAACTAAAAGAAGGACATGACCTAAATCATCTTCATTGAGCATTTTTTGGAGTTCATCACGTGCTTCTTGAATTCTTTCTCTATCGTTTGAATCGACGACAAAGATGAGACATTGAGTATTTTGGTAATAATGTCTCCATAATGGTCTAATTTTATCTTGACCACCGACATCCCAAGAGGTAAAGTTAGTGTTTTTGAACTCTACTAAAATTATGAAAAAATAAAGTTATTTTAGAATACCAAACAAATTTTATATGAATTATTGAATTGAATATAAAAAAAATTATTAATTTCCAAATAGGTAGAAAATTTTTTTTAATTAATTAAAATTTAAATTAAAAAAGTTTAAAAGAACTTTTTTTTTAGCCCTTTTATTTCTTTTATATTTTAAACTTATCTACTATAAAATTTCTATTTGAATATACCATTAATTGATACACAAATATAATTTTAATAGTTGTATTAGAAGAAAAAAAAAAAAAAGAAAAAGATAATTTGCACCTATATATTGCATGTAATAATCTATTTCTTGCTGTTTTTAAATAATTAACTTACCAGTTTCAATATTGAAACCATCAGCTGGAGTTGTGGTAACAATCTAAAAATGATAATAAAAATAGATTGTCAGTTAAAAGAAAAAAAAAAAATTTTTAATTATACTTACTTCACCTAATCCCAGTTTGTTTAAAATTGTTGTTTTACCAGCAGATTCAAGACCAACCATTAAAAATTTCAAATCTTTTTTGCCAAAGAAATAGCTGAATTTAGATTCTATAGACATAAATAAAAATATAGATGATTAATATATTAAATTGAATATATAAAAAAATAGAAATAAATAAAAATAAAAACTAATGTTAATCATAAAAAAAAAAAAATTTTAATATAACATTTTTTAATTTTAAAAAAAAAAAATATAAAAAAAATAAAAATTTTATTAATTTACACCAAAATGTGTAAGGTAAAAGATGGGGTTGCATTATAAATGAGGTATTTTTTTAAAAAATCTTTCTTAATGATATAATTTATATTATTAGAGAGATATTCTTTATTCAAAATTTTAAAAAGTTGAATTTTAGTAATGACAATCACCAACATCAAGGAAGAATTTTGGATTCAAAAGAATGAAAATAGATAGAATAGAATTTTTCTTTAATTTTTTTAATTATTCAAACTTCAGCGGAACCAAGACCAACCATTAAAATTTCAAATCTTTTTTGCCAAAAAATTGGCTGGTCATGGATTGTGTATACATAAATAAAAATATAATACTGAATTGAAAATATATAAAAAAAAAAAAAATTATTAAACCACAAAAAAAAAAAAAAAAAAAAAAATGATATGTAATTATTAATTTTTGTCAAAAAAATAAAAAAAAAAAAATAAAAATTTTTTTTATAAAATTATATGCACACACAAAAAAAAAGATTTTTTTAAATAAAATAAAAATTAAAAAGTTCTTTTTTTTTTTTTTTTTTTTTTTTAAAATTTTTTTTTTT